CATCACATCACATCACATCACATCACATGGTGGTATTATCAACAAGCACTTTGCTCTCTATGACATAAGCATTTGTACATTAGATGAGAGGTTTTCAAATATTTAAAGGCCACAGACTCTCTTATTTACAGGTTTTAAGAACTTTTCTGCTTTGTTCAGTTTGAAAACACATGCATTGCAGCGCATAATACTGAACAATTAGCTTCATTTTTAAAACAATTTTAGGTGATGAAAACTTGACATTTTAAGCCATGCAAAGTGTGGGCTTCATTTTTAAACTGATACTACACCCAAAAAAAAAATAATAATAATTCCCTCATGTGGTTACAAACATTGAAATTCCAAAGAATGTTGGGATCCAAACAACACGTGAGCCCATTGACTGCAATTATATGAGATTTCTTAAAATATCTTCTTTTATGTTAGACAGAAGAAAGAAAGTCATACAGTTTTGCAACAACATGAGGGTGAGTAAATGATTACAAATATTTTATTTTTGGGCGAACTGTTACTTTAAGTTCTATAAACATCTCATTTTTACAGTGTACTTGTGTACTAGTGCAATCTGTGTACATGTGTTCAGATTATACACGATTGTCTGAGCTTTTACCTATTCACAGAATACTGATAAAATATGAGTGTGCATTTTCTCACCCTGCCAGAGTCCTGGATCATTTTGACATTTTCTTGGCCAAATTTGTCCGAGTAAAGTTTGAGGAGACGCTGGGAAATTTCTGATAGAGGAGTGAATTTTGGTTCTTTATAGATATATTCCTTTCCATCCTCATCTTCAAAGAAACCCTGAAACACACACAACATTCCAGTCACAATTTGTGCGTGACATACAGTATGCATACACTGTTGAAGCTATTAATGTACAGGCAACAAAATCTGGTTTGAATCCCATAATCAACAAACCTCTACATCACACAGGTGGAAATGAAGAGTTATGACAAATGGACACACACTTTGACATTTAACTGTCTTAAAAACCAACGTATTCAGGATTTCAAAGCAAACCTGATAACACAGATCTTGGCAGAGCTTAGACTATCAATATCACATCTCCTGCACTTCAGAGAATTCGTGTTAACTTTTAATAATCAGTGCTATCTTTTATTCTCTGTTGTCCAACATAGACACTTTTGAGACATCAGCACTTATGCAGAGCACAAAGCTTTCACTGAGTTTTTGTTGAAACAGCTCAAGCTATAAAAGCTCATGGCTTCTGTGAGATTAATGGGCACAGTGTATAGCGAAAGAGCTCTCTAAGTGTTGCCTAGCTCATTTTTATGGTCCAAACCCATTTAAAAATGGCTTCCTCAGTAAACAACGAGTCAGAGTGCTGTCTAGCTCAACCGGGATGAAGAAATGACAGGATGTTCAGATGACAGGATGTTTTATGTGTTTAAAGATTGATGAAGGATAGCTTCAGAAAAAGATAGAAAAAGACTCTTTCTAATCCAAAGGCATTATGCAAGCAGACAAACAAGCAGTAGTTTAGTGAGACTATTATGGTCAAAGCAAAACTTGCCTGACAATGAGTAAAACAGCACACACACAGTTCACAACAACACTTACCGCAGCCTTAGGAAAGAAAAGAGAGCAGAAAAGATTGATTAACTGAGACCCACGATGCCTTACACATGCTTTAAACAAGACTTTGGCTATCATGCAAGGTATATTATCATGCATACAGGAATGCCTATGTCTCCTTTTCATTTTTAAAGAAGTCACATCATATATTTTTATGATTAAATTACATTTTAACATGCAAAATCTTAATTTAGTTTAAAGGGGTTCTATTATGCCTTCTCACTTTTTAAATTTTAGTCAGAGTGTAGTGTGTATGTTTGGGCATAAAAAAGATCTACGGATGATGTCAGGAAACAGTGGTTGCAATTTGTTTTTTAACTCTGTTCCTGAGCATTATAACCCCAATTTGCTATTGTGTGCTGCGCATTTTACTAAGGACAGCTTCCACAACATGAGGGAGTACAGTGCCGGATCCGCCAAAAAGCTTTTGTTGAAAGACGGAGCAAGGGGCGGGGCAGTACTGAAACACCATCTAAGCTGTTCGCCAATCACAACGCACTGGGACAGCTAACCAATCACAACACATTTTGTTTTTCGGAAGGTAGACCTTCATTTTTATTTTTATTTTTTATTGCATATGAACATATATAACAGTAAGAGAAATACAACTTTGCATATAAATGCCTGAAGGTAGACCTTCATCAAAGCCGGAACTAAGCCGTTTGTGCCAGGCTGGGGAGAAAGGTATTTTAATAATGTAAATTATGTGAAAAATAATGCATTTTTCGAACCACCAAGCATGAGAGCATGTTCTAGTACACCCCCAAAACAAAATCAAAACTTTGTAAAAGAGCATAATAGGACCCCTTTAAAATTTTATAAAAGTTTATTCGCAAAAAATGTTTTACGCTTGCTTGAGGTGGTTTTTGTCTTGCGCGAAAAAGGGTTAATGCAAATAATGGCAGATGGAAACGCATTTGCCGCATAAATTCCTCTATGTGCATCAAAAAAGTCTATGGGACGGCATAACCTCACTAACCAGCGAACCGATCTTGTTGCACATAATCTGAAATGTTGTTATGGTCATTCTGAAATCCCCGAGCAAAGTCTGTTGTCAAATTATTTCTGTATTATTGCCTCCCAGAACTGTCTTACACACAGTTCTGCATTCATTTTCACACAGCAGGCATCCACGAAAGCAATGACCGCATTTATTGTGTTTCGTCTGCTCGCTCTGAGACACAAGTCATTTATTATATATGAAAATTAATGTATTCAGTGGCTTCTCGCAGTTTTCTTGATATTTGGTGCCAGTTTATCAGGAAGTGACGATTTTGTTCTCTTTGACTTGTCGGATGGAAACGGTGCTTATTCGCAAATGTTTTATGGGACAATCTAATTTTTCTCACAAGTTAAATTTGCAACGTGTCCTGCAAATTTCCCACTCGAGTTGAAATTTTTCAACTTGCAGAAGACGCGATTGAGGCGAATTTCACATTCACGGCATTAGCGTCGCCTAATTCGCGTCATTCGAGTCTTTGCATTGACTTTGTATGTAATCTACTTGCGCAAATAATTAAATTCGCTTCTGATGTGCACAAAGAAGAATGTTGTGGGGCAAGTTTCTGATAAACGAATAAGCATTCTTCATGTATAAGCGTGCACTCATATATAATTTTGGGGGGCTTTGATTTTTTTCTTCTTCAGACATCCAGTATTTTTGCAGCTCAGTTTCAAAACATGGTCCCAAAGATCATTATTTTTGGACTGAGGAGGAATTTTTAAGTAATAAAAGTCAAAGTATGTTTTCATGATACACCAATCTTTTTTTTTAATCTCAATTTGATACCTCTTGCAATGACCTCTTTAAAATAAAATGCAGTTATATTGTTGCTATAATGCAGCTTAATCCTCAGTCAAACTGTCTGTGTTAGCTGGACTAGCTGAAACCACTGCACCATTGCATTGTCTTACCTGGCCGAAAAATGCCACTCTAAAGAAGGTCCCAAGTAGCCTCTTCCCAGAATGCATCACTTCCATCACTTTAGTGTAAGCCCGATGTAATGTGTCATACAGGTGGGCCAGTTTCTACACAAAAGCACAAAAATACATCTATACTGTCCAAATATAATATATACTGTATTTCTGGCAAATGTAAATGCTCTATTTCCAATGACACATAAAGAGTGTGTGTGTGTGTGTGTGTGTGTGTGTGTGTGCACCTCAAAGTCTCTGCGCTGTTCGTAAATTGGAATGATGAGTTTGTATATATCTGAAATAAGTTCGTAACGTTCAGCTTTCCATAAACCATCAGCACAAGCTTCCAACAACTCCATAAGCACCTCCTGCAGATAAACATGCATATATAATTACTGTTTCAACTCCATTTTAGCAATAATGCACTTACATGACACCTCCAGATACAGCAAACTATCTTCTCTCAGCAAATCATGCTACAGACAAAACTGCTGTTGTAAGTAATTTACTGGTAACTAATCTGTCATTAAGTTTAATCTTTTAATTTAAAATATGTTTTTGTATCTTGATAAAGGGGACAATGGTTCAGAAAGTGCCTTTTTGGGGGTTCCGACAAGATTCCTCGGTTACTCAAAATTAAGTCCAAAAGAACCGGACAAATCCAACAGCAGAGATGATCTTTTATCACAAGTGTAAGCACTGAACACCATGTAAATGTTACACAAAGAGTTCATTAAACATGCAAACTGATTATTCAGTGACGAGGGACTCTCAGGTCTAATCAGGGCTCATTATCTGGACTTCCTTTACTAACACACCCACTGGAAAGGGGCAATGGATACTGATTAGATAAGAAATCTGAGAACATTTTCTACAATGGATTATTACTGACGTTGTTGTAAAAAAAGAGTTTTGAATTCAGTCCAGTGCTGATGCAGAGTCAATATGAAAGAGTGGCAGGATTAAGGGGCTGTGACTCATGAATGTGGCTAAAAGCGCCACATCTCTATATAAAAGAGATCAGGAGTGAGCTGGTTTGAACCTCATTGAAGTGAACGTCCTGCATGCCCACATCCTCCATCATGGCTGCCTCCTCATCAATGTTGGGTGTGATCACACAAAATGCAGAGCAGCCCTGCCGGAACATTCCTGCCAAGAAGGAATATTAAGCAGAATAGGTTAAACAGGTTCAATAAACTGCAAAACCTTTACAAAATATCAGGCATTTGGACACACACTAGGTATTAAGGGAAACATCACACCTCAAGAACTGATTTCCTCCGTAAATAATTTTGCTTAACACTGCATAATGTGAGTGTGTGTGTTTTTGTGCGCATTTCATTTTCCTGACCCTGCATTATTAGAGCTGTTAACACACACAGAGATTACCTCCTGTAAAAGAAATTCACAAAGAACTACAAATTGCAAAATACAGTTGAACCTTGCACAAGATGCCTTTACAAATCTGTCTCTGTGTGTGCGTGCATTCGAGCATGGAAAGAAAATTTTAATCAACTTTCACCTGTATCCTAAAAAAACAAGTTCAATTATCAAAGCTTACAAAGCATATCTGATAAGCCAGACAAAAAAAGCTTTTTATAAGATTTATAACTTTGGCCAAACCTAGTAATATTGTCATGGTATGGTGCATGAGGGAACGCATGAAGACGAAGAAGATATGATACAGTCTTTAATAATCCACATAGGGGTAATCCATAGAAAGGAGGCAGAAAACACACGTACACATCGACGAGATCGGACAACCAAACACTGAACAGAATGCAACTTATAAAAAATAGAACAAAATAAAAAATAAAGCCTGCAAGTGACGTCGCTAGCGGAAGCGCAAGTGTCTGAGAATGCAAGTGCGAGGCTGCAGCCAGACCCTTCTCACTTATAGGGGGAACGTTAATAAGGACAATTGACACGAAACACCTGAACATAATGACACAATCAAGGGGAGACAGAAACTAGGTCAAAGAACACGAGGAATGAAATGAAAACAAACACAAAAGTCCATAAAGTGTTACAAATATATGATATACTGTATCTCGCGCATTGTTACTTCTGTATTTAATGCTTGCTTTTACAAGCCACATTTGTTCAAAATGTGAAATTTTCTTCAAGTAATGATTCAAGTCAAGTATTTTACGTAAATAGATCACAAACTGTGTCCAGTAATGAACCAGAATATCCATTCCAGTGGGAAAATTTTGCATCTTGATTTAAAAAAAAGTTCATTTCTGACTGCAATTTATATTTACTGTGCCCCCTAGTGGACTCCTCACCTTTCCTCTTCAGGTACTCGGCCACAAGTGCTGCCACATGCACGTAACACATCGCTGCCTAAAGAAAAAATAAGCCACTGATGTAATGTTATCCACCAACCATTGTTTTACTATATCACCAAACAAACTGATGCTGAATGAACTGTTAACTCAAATACTGAGTGAAGAACAGCAAAATTAAAGAGTTAAAAATATGGATGTGTTTAACCCAATTTTCTGTAGTTATTTGGCTAATTAAGTTTATTTAGTTTTTAGGTTTATTTAATTTATTAATTAGTATGATTTGGTCAGCTTGCCTCAGACAGATCTCCATTCTTGACGTGGATTTTAGCCATACTATCCAGCCAGGTTTTGCGCAGCTCAGGGGTGCTGGTGTAGGATTTGGCCAGGCTGTACTGCAGGTCCACCAGCATCTCTGGGTCTTTTTCATGTTCCTTCATCTGCTCAGTGGCCATCAGTACCGTCCGGATCCGCTTGGTCAGGTCCTTCACATCCGAGGGGAAAGCAGTGTGCTGGAAGAACGGGAAGAGAGAGTGCATAATAGGCAAACAGTCACATCTGATGATGAGACATATACACTGATTTGAATTTGAAAAGCTGGTGATCTACTTGAGTTTATAGTGTTCAATGTTATTCTGACATTCATATTTATTGTTAACATTTATGTAGATGCTTCCTTAAGACTTTTGCCCAGATTTTTGCCCCAATTTGCAGTCTGGAGTTGACATTATTTGCTGAAAGTAATAGCTAGTGTAGAGATGTTGGGCACTCATATGTAACCAAATTCACAGAAAAATCACCTATGATTTCAGAGGATAAAGTGATGATGCTTATTAATCTGTTCATCACATTAAAAGTCATGTAGGCATTCCAGCATTTACTCAGATTGCAACCTACAATATAATAATATGTATTTTGTATATACTGTATAAATGGAAATGACTAATTTTACCTTTACAGTTTTATCACTGTTGGCACAATTATTAATGATGGACAGTGACTGTTGGAACCGTGTCCCTCCAATCCCGATGACATCAGCGATCAGCTGACTCACTGCAATCACCACCTGAGAAAATTTTTTTTCAAATAAATCGCCAGGTATTTCAGCCAGATTGTGTTTTTCAAGTAAAAAAAAAGGCCAGTATTGATTCTAGATTGCAAAAGGGCTCTCTAGATCAGTGGCTCTCAACCAATGGCCCCGGGACCCACTAGAGGGCCTCATCAAATCTCCAAGGGGGTAGCAAGATGACTTAAAATTATTTGTAAAATTATTTGATTGACACTTCTGGCGTCTATTTGACCCCCCCATTACTCTCTTATCCCTCTCTTGCCTGCAGGTGTGTGCGGACAAAGGACTTCCTGCCATTGTACTCAAAGTTGCTCTTCATGAGGAAATAGAGCAGGTGGGCGGCATCACTGCGTATGGAGCTCAGTTTGGAATTACAGCACTTCAGGATCTCATAGCACAAACAGGCACACATATCCGCCCGTCCGTCAAAAAATGTACAGGGAAACTGAGAGAGACAGAAAAAGACATGAGACTTATGAACAAAATAATGAACAACACTATTATGTCTTCATCATGTGTACACTTATGTTGGACATTTAATTACTCAATTATGTGATCTGATGGCGGGAAGAGTAAATTGACTGATGTTTTGATGAATCGTAGCCATTGACTTCCATAGTATTTTTTTCCATACTATGGAAGTCAATGGCTACCAGCAACTGTTTGGAAACCAACATTCTTCAAAATATCTTCTGTGTTCAACAGAAGAAAAAAACTTGTTTCGAAACTACTCGAGGGTGAGTAAATGATGACAGAATGATGACAATTTTGGGTGAACTATCCCTTTGAAGGGCTGGTGAGGAAATATATCAGAAAATACTGAATTTTGCTTGTTTGATCCAAAAATAAACCATTTTTAACTGTCAGGGTCTACATTGGGGATTTTCTTCTCTCATATCCCATGAATCAACAGTGAGGGTGGCTCTTTTGATTACCTTGTAAATGAAGGTACGTAGGGAGGTGAAGACCTGCTTCAGTGCAGTCTCTGACTGGGGGATCTGAAGGAAACAGAGGTGCACCTGGAAAACCTTCTTCATCAGTGGGTTATGACCCAAATCTGCACACAGCTGGGTCTGTGGACACATGGTTTAATATGAGAGTGCTTAAAGGAAGAACTGAACTTTGACTTGTACTAATAAACACACACTTCCACTTGTTGTCTATACCTTAAAGCCCATAATGAAGACACTGAGTGTGTCCAGCACAGTCAAGCACACCTCCGTTGAGACGTTAGCCTCCAGGAGACACGCGTCAGCATCACCATGGCAATACGCTGGAGGAGAAAGAGGAAAAGAAAGATCATATCATTTAATAACTGAACAGAGGTGAGATAAGCTGCTTTGGCCACTCAGTATTGCTTTGCTGTCTCTGGTTGGACTACATCAGTGGTTCTCAGACTGTTAGAGTATTTCAGAACCAGGATTGAAAAACCACTGGATTACAACACTTAATTCATTCTGCATTGAAGATGGCGCAAAGGATGACATGTAGAATATGCATAGCACTATGCTTTTTTGGTCCCCTTGAAACCTAAGAAGCTCTTACCGGTTAGTCTACAAAGATCCCAAGAACATATTCTCAGACCGAAACATACACAGTGTAACTTTCATGATTGTCAAAGCACATTAAATTCTTCTAAATGTTCATCTTAGAGAGGTTGTGAAGGATGAGGAGTGATTAAGAAATGAATGTGTGTTAATGTGTCTTACTGTGGTTGAAAGTGTGTGCGTTCTCCAGGCTGCCCAGCTGGTGTAAGCGTGTGTGCATGATGCCCCCTCTGTTACGAGACACAGGAAGAGTCAACGACTTCCTGTCCGGAGCCATAAACCCCACCCCATCCTGGCTTCTGAGGGAAAACAAAGCCTTTATTAGAGATCTGGTGAGCTGTCAATCATGTACATACAGTATAAAAATGTAAATATGTAGGGGTCATGTCATAGATTTCATGAGGTCTGCTTATATTGTTATTTTAGACCATGTTCCACACTCTCTTGCCGTATTTTCCCAAAGTTTGGGGTTGATTACAATTTTAAACTGTTTTGTATGTTAATATATTTTAAAATGTAATTTATTCAAATAATGGCAAATCTAAATTTTCAGCAGCCATTACTCCAGTCTTCAGTGTCACATAATACTTCAGAAATCTAATATGCTGATTTGGAGCTTAAGCAAAATTTCTTTTTATTATCAATGTTAGAAACAGTTGTGCTGCTTAACATTTTTGAATGGCAGTGTTCCCTTAAGACTTATGAAAACAGCTTCTTTGAACATGAAATGAGTAACAGCAGCTTATGATCAGCAGTTTTGCTGACAAGTCAATATATTTTGCATTGTCTATTCTTCAATAAAAGCCTATTTGCAAAGCTTGCATTGTTTTATGACAGGTTCACAAAATGTGCAATACACAAACTATCAAGGTCGGATTGAAATGAATACCAAAAACTGTATTTCTAGATTAGTTTCAACAGATGCTTTTGTAAACTAGTGAGGACATTTTGAAGTTTTGAAATTCTTATTTATTCCATAATATCAATGAAAGCTTGATTTCTCATGATATGACCCCGTTAAAACATCTGTATTCACTATGGTTGACTTCTACTCTATTTCTGACACTGTATAGTTCTTACATTATATTATATAAATATGATATGCCACAAAGTTGCACCTGTATTACTGCTCATAAACCAACATGATGCTGTAGATGGTTTATAAAAGATGTTAATACAGTGCATTAGATGTTGGCATCCATTAGTCATGTGACTGGTTATCCACTGGACAAAGAGCAGGACATGTGATGATGTGCACACTGGTGTGAGCATATTATTGTACTAGATGTGTTGAATGGACACATGCAGGTGATAAGTATCTAAACGGATACCACAAAACCTTTTGCTCTTAGACTATTGAGAAAGCATGAATGTGGAAATGTCTCAGCACACATACACACAGAGCAGTGAGTTAGTTGAATGAGTCAGCATGCTGTTAGTGAAGGCCACTCAAAAGCACACAACAGCTCTTACCCTGTTTAGGGGTGCCAGGATGCTACAGTATCACTGACTAACTGAACCCTCGCCAGCATTTCAGCCAATAAAACATATACACACATAAAGGAGTAGCGTCATTCAAGGTAGTAGGACTTGATGCCATGTATGCATGCATGTAATTTATAATTAATTTAATAAATAATAATTTAATGTATGTGTGAGTGCATGTTAAAGGCTAGAGAGAGACAGATAGATTTGAGATAGCAGTTGTGGTCTTGAGCTTGTGTTTGTATGTCTGGTTTTATAGATGAGAACTTGTAAAATCATTTGTGATAAAAATTAGAACTAGGGCTATCAACTGATTAAAAAAATGTAAGTGAATTCATCATTCGTGACATCCAGATAATTATTATTTTTTTAAATCTACGATAACTGATAATTAATAAAAATGATTCACAATGAATCACATTTATAAATACATTATTATTGATCATTACTAATTATTACCACCAAATGAAGTTAATTCAAATACATTAGGCAGCATTGTAGTGGCAGACAAAGAAACCTTTGAACAGACATGGGAAAAAGTGACCTTGCAGATAATTATATTGTTTTTGTTTTTTCCATGTCACTAATCTTAAGCCTAGCACTGGCCCAAATTAATTAATTCTTAATGCATTATTAAATTTAAAGTACCTTATTGGCATGATTATGTTTACATGTAATACTGCAAAGCAATATACACAAAACAAGTAATGACAAGAAAAGTATATACAATAAAACAATAATAAAACAACAAATAACAATAAAACAATATTAAAAACCTTATTTAGTAAGTGAATAAATGCATATATATAATACAGAAATTAAATGTATTGAATGAATAATGTATTGAATAAATGTATCCAATATTATATATATATATATATATATAATGTATATACAGTATATATATACATTATGCATAAAAATACTGTCATTTTATTTGATTATTAATAAAATATAATTAATATTATTATGTAGTACTATCTTTTAAACCAATAAATGTTCTAAATTGATGCATTTGATTAATTAGGATGCTTTTTTTAATGTTTTGGCATAAATATTCTGTTGAACAAAAAAATGTTTACTTAATGGCCTTAATGTTCCCTGATTTCACACAAAATTAAATTGAAAGTCTTAATCAGGATACTTATTTTTTCTAATGTTTTGGCATAAATATCCCATTTAACATAAATACGAGTACTTTATGTTCCCGCTAAAATATGTATGATTTACTGTGGCACCAAAATTCAAAGACTTCTAAGAATTCTTAAGATTGGTAGGAGCAAAACATTTTTTACCTGGCAATGAATCTCTTCCCCATATACCTGAACTGATGTAAACACACTCTGTGTGAGAGAGAGAAAGAGAGAGAGAGAGAGAAATGAACTGAGTGTGCAGTATTAAGCTAGAGGACCTCAGTACTCTGATGCTCTGATGTGATTAGTACCAGTCTAGATGACTTACTCTACTAAAGTGAAAAAGTCCATCAGCTCAGAGGTTGTGGCTTTGTTCCAGTATGTAAATAAGGCATCTGGAAAAATAATCAAAAGTGAGGACAATCATGAACAAAAGTATGTGGACTTTGAAAATTAAAGCCATGTGTGCATGTTCTTACCCTCAGACATGCTCTTTAAGACATGGAGGAAACACATGAGCAGGTTTTTGATTTCTTCTCTGTCCAATTTATCACAGCGCAGCATAGAGCTACCCAGAGCAGAGGCTGATTGGGTCTGTTGTACAGACACACACACACACACACACACACACACACATATAAAGTATATAATGGAAGACCCATCAAAATATCACATCACAGCACACTGCGGGCCATTGGAAGCTTTACTACTCACCCCTATATGACTTTAAGTGAGCAAAAAACACCCCACCACATGCACAGAGGTGGAAAAATACAATATGAGAAAGACATGCAACACCCTCATGATGTATAAAAGATTATAGAGATGGAAGCACACACACTCCCCAGATGGGGACACTCTAGGGTTGCTCTACTTGTATGGTGTCAGTAATTCTGTTAGTGTCGTTATCGTAGAGGGCGGGGCTTGAAAGCAGTGAGAAATCCATTGTGACACGTTTGGCTGCCCGGCTGAGAGGTGCGGAGTCCTCTGGTTCAAGGGGGAGGGGCAACACGGTGAGGGTGTGTCTACGTGTAAACCTCTCTTTCGGCTAAGAGGTCAGAGGTCAAGGGTAAGAGGAGAGAATAAAAGTTAGGAATGATTAAGGGAAACTTATTAGCAATGGCTACATGCCACTAAATACAGCTGAGGCTCAGTTAAAGCAGTGATGGTGCCATTTGCGTCCTTATGATATTTCAATATATTTAAAATTAGTTTAGTAAGACAAAAAAGAAACATTAACCCTGAAATATTTTAAAGATTACATTTGCCAGTTTGTATGTACCCATTCTTTATAAAAACATTTTAATAGGTTACAAAAAATAAACCTACATTAAATTTAGCTTTTATTTAAATTTTATTTAAATTTTTTTTTTTTGCAAAAATGCTTTTATGTTTTTCAAACCAAAAGTATGTTTCTCTTACATCAAGCATAATATTTCATTAGAAATGGGAAAAAAACTTGTGATACTACAATAACTTATATATTCAAGTGATAAAATATATGAATTATAAAGCATAGGAATTACAAACTTCCAAAACTCTGGACAGAGTTGAAATAATGTATGGTTTTTCAGTTAAGATTACTTAAGAAAAATGACTAGGGTTTTTTTTGGATTATTAGTTTAATAATTTACTATTGAAAACACCCAATGTCTTTGGAGGTTCTGGCTCTGCTAGTTTAAGCCTGAGGGAGAATAAAATGTGATTTCTTTTCATTTGAGATGTTAAAAAAAACCTGAATTTTTCAGGCACTGTTGCCTAGAAATGACCCAGGGAGTGAGAAATGCAGCATAACAGATGTTTCATGACCTCACATGTTCATGTAATGTATTAGACACATGTGGAAAAGTGAATACATCACAGCTCCAGTTAAAGGCCCCCTGAGCACATTTGAAGGAGGAAGGAACTCCCCCTGAACATTTAATACATCCATTTAACATTGTTTTTAAAAGACAAAGTCAAGTCCATTTTAATTTTGTAAAGTGCTTTTCAGAGTACATATTATGAAAGCAGGAGATTCTATTTAAACAATGCAGATAAGAGATTATTTTAGGCCTGATGGACATCGTAACTGTTATTCAACTTTACCTTATCGAGGGAGCTGGTCTTCTCAGGGATGCTGTTTCCTGAGTCTGTGCTGACCAGAGAACCTCGAGAGTCAGCGTGACGCACAGAGCCAATGTTAGGCGTAGAGGTGTGAGGAGAGGCTACGCACAGAATAAACTTCATTCATATAATGAAATCATTCACAGAAACATCTCCTGATAATCTCACCAATGCCAGAAGGTGAAAGGCCTGAGTTGCTGGTAGTTTTGGATTTGCTCATTACTCACCAGTTCCTGAGATGACCCCAAATACATCTTTATGAAGGCTGTTGTCAAGGTTGCCAACAGGCTTTTGAGGTGTTACTGTAGAGATGCTGGAAAGATGTTCATCTCGCCCATTCTGAGGAGAAATAAGAAATTTTGTGAAAAAAGAAAAATTGTGAATAATAGACTGATACGAGGTTGCCAACAGGCTTTTGAGGTGTTACTGTAGAGATGCTGGAAAGATGTTCATCTCGCCCATTCTGAGGAGAAATAAGAAATAAGGAGAAATGTAAGGGTTGCTCAAATTGTGAATAATAGACTGATACAAAAGTACAAAAGATGATTCACCTGGTTGGTGTTAAAATTAGACGCGTCTCTCACATTCAGTCTGTAAACGTTCTCCTGCAGCAACCCAAACAAGGGTAGATAAAGCGTCGCCAACCTTGCCTGCTGACTCTGTGCACACATACACAGATACACAGCTTAGATATTTACCAGTTAAAATCAATGTCTGTCTAAGGCAAGTCAATTCACCCAGTGGCAATCTTGAAAGTGCTTCAGGGCACTGTTTTTTAAATAGGCAATTGGCGTACAAGTATAGCTCCTATGTACTTGAACTGGGAAAGAACTAAAATATATAAAATAAGATCATGTTCAATACACTACCACTCAAAAGTTTGGGTTTATTATTATTTTTTCAAAGAAATTAATACTTTTTTTGTTTTTTGTTAAGCCACTGTTAAGGTGCTAAGGCAGTTACAAAATTAAGAAAACAAAGTGCAAACACCCTTAATTTTAAAAACAAAGAAATTAATACTTTTTTTGTTTTTTGTTAAGCCACTGTTAAGGTGCTAAGGCAGTTACAAAATTAAGAAAACACTTAGTGCAAACACCCTTAATTTTAAAACAGTTATTTTTCTTAACTTGAGGGGTTTGTTGCAACTGTGCGCTGACCTTTGAGGCATAGCGATCGTCAAATGTGTGTTTGATCATCAGACTCTTGAGAACCTGAATGGCGATCTGACGGACTTCCCCAAACTCCTGAAGGGCCCCACACACCTCCCTCAATAACAAACCCACTAGAAAGTGATTCCTGCAGAAATCATCAGTCAGTGAATAGTCCAACTGTAAATCTATGAAGACACAGAGAAGAGAAAGAGAAAGAAAGGCATTACACCACAAACACTGAATGTAACCACCAGCTAATTTAAAACTGTGTTTGAAAGTTTCGGCTCAAATATCCTGCTTAAAAGACCAAAGACAACTAGTTGCAATGCTTTAAACAAAAACAGTTCTACAGCTTTTTATAATAAAACCAAGAGCACTGATTTGATTTATGCACTTTAAATTACAACTTCACTGGTACAGCATATCACAATAAACACACATACACAAGATGATATTTCACAGACAGACTCAAAAGCCAGTTCATGGACAGTTATTACAAAACAAAGGTAAATAGAACAGTTTTAAACACCCAATCAATCATCCAGACTCATGAATGAATTAGCTTATTTTGCACATCAACATATGTAAGACAGACCAGAGTAGGTCCATTCCACATCAGGAATGAAGCCATCATAGCAGTTATGACACTGAAGAGAGACATGGACTGTGTCATTAAGACTAGACACATGAACATTGTTCAGTGCCTGGCAAGCAGGACTGCTCACCTACTCTTCTCGCATGAGTCTTCTTAATGTGACACAGAAAAGCTAGCACACACAAAGAAAGAGGAAACAGTGGAAAGGGACGGCAGAAGACAATCATATAAGCAATAGGTACAGAAAGCCCAAAGAACAGAAGCCACAGAGGGAGGAAAGACGAATTCTATTAAATCTAATTCTCCTGATGAACAACTTAACCTTTCAAGAGAGATGCCAGACAATTTTTTAGACTATTTCAACAACAGTGTGCTGTAGAATACTGCTGTATGTTTACCTTGAAACCTCTGAATGCGTCCCTTCCCAAAAGGCATGGGCAGATTGAGTGGGATGTAGTGTTCATGATTACACACCACCCTCAGAAACTCAAACTTAAACTCATACAGCGTCTGCAAGACACAAAGAGACACAATTATATTATATTATATTATTATATTATAGTTTGGAGTCAATAAGATTATTTTAAAATAAATTAATATTTTTATTCAGCACATAAAATTGTTCAAATGTAAAAAAAAAAAAACGTATAATTTTACAAAAGGTTTCTATTTCAAGTAAATGCTTTTGAACTTTCTATTTATCAAAGAATCCTGAAAAAAAAAATGATCACGGCTTTTACAAAAATATTAAGCAGAACAACTGTTGATAATCAACACTGATAATGATAACAGATTTTACTTTAGCACCAAATCAGCATATTTGAATGATTTCTGAAGGATCATGTGACATTGAAGACTGGAATAATGGCTGCTGACAAATCAGCGTTGCCACCAAAATATATTAAAATAGAAAACAGTTATTTTAAATTGTAAAGACATTTTAAATAGTACTGTTTTAATGTATTTTAGTAAAAAAAAGAAAAGAAAAATGCAGCCTTGGTGAGCGTAATAGATTTCTTTCAAAAACATTAAAAAATCTTACAGACCCCAAAGCTTTGGTTAAAGGGTCAAAAGTGTACAGGGGTCAATTTGATTACTATAAGGGAAATGGTTCAGTCTGTTTACAATCTAATCAAGTATTTTCTTGAAAAATTAATTTGTTTTGATTTTAAGGAATATCCTGTTTAATGATTAGTATACTAATATGTGTTGAGGCAATACAAACACGTTTTGCATCCAAATTACAATTTGTGTTGTATTTAGCAAGCATTTAGCTAAACTTAACTAAACACCATTTACACAAACATTGTTACATTAGCTAAAAGTCCCATAAAGGTACTGAATGATTAGTAAACATTTATAAACATTTATAAATGATGAATAATCTTAACTTGATTTGTATAGCACTGAAAAATATATGAACAAATAAGCTTTTAATCATTGTTTGTTAATCATTTAGTTTTTATAAACTAAAGATTACAAGTTTGAATATGAGTTAATAACGAGATGTGCTGATATTAAATTATAGATTATTATTTAGCATTTTATATAACTATATAATTTCATGTAACTATGCTGTTATGTGTACCTTGGGATCTCCAGGTACAAAACAGGAGATGTAGTTGTTTATCTGCTTGAAGACAAATCCTCGATCCATAAAGGTAAAACAGCGCTGTAGGGCAGATAGCGAGAAGACACTGTTGTTAAATGAACTCAAATTGTCATTAATGATACAAGCCTTCAAATACAACTCTCAACAACTCAGGATGCCTCACAGAGACCACTTTGCAGACAAAATCAAATATTGGTGTATAAAATGAACTGGCTGTACCTTTATGAAGACGGCCAGGCTATGGTTGGCATTGCGGGCAGCGTCCAGATTGTCCTTATACTTCTGTGTGATGTGTGGCATCAGCATGTTCACGAGTGTCTCCACAGCATGGTGGAATGAAGCTGTGAATCGCTGGTTCCTGGACAACTACACATACAACAACACAGCTAAAACAATTAATAAAAAAAACCACGTTAAAAAACAGTTTCCAAAATCCAGTTACCTTAATACAGGGTCTCTTTCAGGAGAGTGAGAAGCTTTCAGAATATTTTTATTTTGGTTCATTTTCATTGTTGATAACAGTGAAGGCAAATACCAAGTTTTCACTGTTTTAATCAGGATATTTTGGGGAAAAACTATGCTTACCATGGTAAATTTTTAGTCAAGTAGTAAAGTAAAGGTACATTTTAGTAAAGGAGAGTTTATAATTGTGTTTACCTTGACCTTGCCACTTTCCATCAGGTACTGTGCCATTGACTTCACCAGGGTTTCAAAAAAATACCACGAATACTGAAACACCGAAGTAAACATTTTAACCATTGACAAATAGAACTCATAACAAACTTGCTGAGATTTAAGAGTTTTAAAACAGAAACTTTAAAACAAAACTACCTTGAGAAGCTTGTTGCTGGTTAGGAAGTCGGTTGAAGGCTTTAAAATGGATGTCATGGCTTTGGCCAGTTCCTCGTGCCCTGTCTTACTGTTATTGGTTGAATAGAACTCTGTTTTAAACACGTACTGGAATAACAGGAAGAAAATCATGTAAACAAGATCTATTTTAGAAACTGAAAAAACCTATGACAGTGTACATTGCAATAAATATGGCTGAATGTTTCAGAACTTGATTTACCTTCACATAGGACCTCAAGTAGTGTTCTAGACCCTCTTCGTGGCACTGAGCAACAATGTGGACCATGACCCTGCAGGGGAGACAGATGAACAACACGGGGGCATGTGAGACAGAAAGAGAAAGACAGCATGTTCTGATTTTGGTGACTCCTATTCTCTCACCTGGTGGTGTTTACAGCAACATCCTCATTACTGGCGCTGGTCAGAACATGAACCAGCTGGTTTAAAATAGTCGGCAGGAAGTTGATCATAACATGGCCTTCCATAGCATGAAGACTCTGGGGATTTATGGGTAATGTTTTGTCATTTAACCCACCATAATAAGAATAATTAATGCAGAAGAATCCTGCTTCTCTAACTTCTCTATGCTCACCTTGAGGTATTTGACAAGCTCACCCTCAGTTGGACAGGTGGCACCAGACTGCATACTCTGGAAATGATGGAAAAAATTGTTCAGGTGCTGATCCTGAGGAGGTGAAAAAGAGAGGTTTATATTACAGACTGTGACGAGATTAATAAGGAACCTGTGACTAATCATGCCTGCAAGGCTAAATATACATTATGTAATTCAGACAATGTTGACGTTGATTCTCTGTGTTAATAAAAGCATAATTAGTATATATATATATATATATAGTCATACCTGAGTGTAGATGGTAGAGACCAGATGTGTAGACACTTTGAAAAGAGGACGTCCTCCATCCACCCACTTTATCTCAGGACTGGAGTGCTGCAAACACAACACCCATAAAACAATATCACATTTAAACAGTTTATTTTGATTATACTGACAGATCACCCACTGAAAGATCTATTTAATGTCTTTCTCATAGACAGCAATGAGATTAAATGAAGGGCAGATGGAGTCATTTGCTGAATTCGTACCACGCGTTTTATAAAGCTATGCCTTCTCATATGTCCTAATTTCATTTTCATGAGAAAATAGCCAACTAATCTTTTGTGTTTGTCTTAATGTGTTTTAAAAGAGATCCCAATAAAGTCAGAGATCGCAATGAGCTACTATATCCACATAAATTTTATAGCTCTCTATACTCCTAATACTAATACTAATACTAATAATAATAATGCTAATTCTCTGAATAGATTTAGCATGTTATGGATATAACCATGTTAATTGCTGTAGAGCAATTATGGACTTGATACTGCCAAGAGATACAAACATTTTTTGTAACAGACAACTTTAAATGTTGACCATGCAATGTAACTGGCTGTAGGAGCAGCAAAGCCAATCAACTTGTGCCAAATGATAAATAAAGTGATTGCTAGCAATGTAAAGGACCAATCAGCCTGCGCTATCTAGAATTTCATGACTAAACTAGATATGTTGTTTATGGAATTTTCAGAGAAATATCTAAGACAAAGTTGATTCATCAATGAAACAGACTCCTGCGCTATTAAAGAGCAACCTCTTCCTGTGTAAAAGTGATAATATGCAATACAATCCACTCAGATAAAAGATCAATAATAATTAGATGTAGATATTCACAAAGTATAGCAAATTAGACCACACACACAAAGGCTCAATTGCTGTACAAAGAACAGGTACAGGTTCACATTTGTTCAACAAATGGCTGAAACTTTTGCCAAGCACAGCATGTTTTTGTTATGACTGAGCATTGTAGGTTTACCTTGCTTACACCCTCCTGGCAGCTGAGGTAACCATTTGGTAGGTTGGATGCCACAGAGATGTGCTGCTCACTCATAACAACACGACCATCTTTAAGCAGAGGAAGCCAGGCAGAGCCCACTGACAGAGAAACAGACAGACAGTGAGAGTATGTGTGGAAGAAAATGTTCACCACATCCAATGACTACACTTACAAATTTGTGATTGGTTGATTGGTATGCCTCTCTCTGATAATGCCGCAAAAATGTTATGAATAATAAAACAAAAACAAAAAACAAAGGAGCAAGTTCCTGGAGCCCTACCCCATGCCTTAAAATATAAACACTGTTAGCAACCCAATTACCCAGCATGCTGTACCTGGGGTCTCCACTATGTCCCGCTTCTTTGTGCTGCTGTCACAGCTGATGTGGTAAAAAGTGAAGAGCAGGTGATGCTTTTCATGAAGTTGTGTGGGCAACTCAATTTTTATCTGCCGTACAAAAACACACACAATATGATTTAAAGAAAACAAAAAAATAAATAAAAAGAAAATAAATCTAAAATATGAAGAGATCGGTCTGAAAAATGATCAGTATCTTCAATATTTACACAAAAAAACATTTTATTTGGGGTTAAAACAATCCTAAATAATTAAAATATATTAATGTACATTTCAGTGTACAGTGATCAAGTTCCTCGTATATACATAATATTACATGTTCCTCAAAATATTACATGAGCATACAACAATTTGAGTAAAAAGTTGAAATAAAAGTGTAACTTGAATTTTAGAATTTCTTAGTATTTAATTGGTTAATCTGTGGTTCTACTGATGGCATTACTCAAGTTATTTTTTGCAAAACCTAAAGATAACATCATAACATTTTTGTTTACAATTTTTTGAGATTTGGCCATTTTTTCAGATTTAAATTTTGAACTCCTGTTTGTCTATATGGTATATTACATCGTGCTTGGCCCCCTATAAAATATATATCGCCTCCCATGCATCACCTCATCATAAAACTCTGGGTTCTGCTGGTGGTGCAGTACAGCTGCATAGGCATGTTTGGTGAAGAGAGGACCTCCTGGACGACCATAGATACACTATACATAACAGTGACACACAAACAGAGCAATTTTTTAAAAAGTTATTTGGCCTTTTTAACTTTACTGCAACAGGGCAATGCAAGGAAGGACAGAAAACAGTGGAATAGGAGAGAGGGGAACAGGGCTAGGAAAAGACCTTGAGTATTTATTGTATATTATTTATTTATTGTATATGAGAAAGGTATTGGGACAACCTTGTACCTTTAGAGGTTGGGCATCTTCTTCATCCGACTCCCTGAATTCCACACATACTGCGATGTTCCTCGCCTGAGTCACACAAGATAAAGACTGAACATGAGCCAGAAAACTACTTACTGTCGAATCTCTAAGGGCATGTTTTAGGAGTGGCGGGTGTGGGCCTTCATTACACTGACCATCTCATATGTCAATACCTTTGGCAGAGGGCACTAATTTTTGCAAGAAAATGGAAAAAGCAAGAAGCTTTCAGCTGATAATGCTAATGTACCTTGGCGAAAGACTTCTGGCTGTCATATTTGAGATGTTTTGGATAGACATAGAGATGATTGTTGTAGGTTGTGAAAGGCTGAGAGCATTTGGCAATACAGGGAACAAACTCCTCCATCTCCAACAGAACACCGTCACTTGGCCCATTACTCTCAAAAGGCCTCACTGGGATGTAGGATGGAGTGACACAATCTAGCCCATGGTGAGGAAAAAATCTGAGTTCAAGTGACCAATTCATTGCACACAAGGAGGGCACACAGTTTCAGGAGATCAGGGTGGAAATTATGAAGAAAAAAATCAGAAAAGACATGCATTATGTTAAGGTTATATTAACAAATATTTTGAAGACTTACTAGCCACATCAGGAGGGACATTATCAATGGTAACGTCCAGGTTACCCAAGATGACAGGTAGTTTAGCCATCTTTTCAGGTCTGTGGATACAATTTTGACATACACATTATTGGTCAAATATTGTATTATTGAAATAAATGTAACAATACAATAAAATACATTTAATAATAAATATAACATAACATTAAATAATAAATAATACATTTTTTGTTTATTTCGTCTCTTAAGCTCACCAATGCTCACCAATTTTATTTAATTTAATTTAATTATCAAAACTACAGTAAAAATGATTTCGTTGTCAGGTATTATCAGTTATTACTGGCGCTCTATTATTAGTAATGTTTTTTTATTATTATCAATGTTGAACATATTTTTTTGCTGCTTAATATTTCTGTGATAATTTTTTGATGAATAGAAAGTTCGAAAGAACAGCATTTATTTGGAATAGAAATCTTTTGTAACATTATAAATGTCTTCACTGTCACTTTTGATAAATTTAATGCATCCTTGTTGCAAAAACTGTTTTCACAGTTAGCATCATAACTACATATTATAACGTTGTCTAAAGGATCATGTGACACTGAAGACTGGAGTGATACCTGCTGAAATTTCAGCTTTGCCATCACAGGAATTAATTTACTTTTTGAAATATATTAAAATTGAAAAAAGATATTTTAAGTTGTTTTACTGTATTTTTTATTAAATAAATACAGCCTTGGTGAGCATAAAAGTCTTCTTTCAAAACTATTTAAACATCTAATCATTCCAAGCTTTTGACAGGTAGTGTACATTCATATTAGAAGCTCATATATCTGTAGGAGGCCTGAAAAAGTGCCCCTCGGAGAGGAACTACAAAACACATTTCTAATGGTGGGACCGTCCACAGCTGCAAAAACACTGCAGAAGACTATGATGTTCGGAATATATTTCCATTTAAAGTCCATTGTTTTAATATACTGAATCTACTGTACTGTAAAAGGGACAGGGATCTCTAGCGAAGACAAGTCTGATGACATGAGGTGAATACTGACTTCCTAAAATCCGCCAGTAGTTTGAAAAGATCCTCTTCTGAGAGTTTATTACTGTCTTGTCGGTACAGCGCGGAGAACCGAGCGCTTTTATCCAAAGTCCCTGAGGCATCTTTAAACACAGGCCTGTGGAAAAGAACAAAAATATTAAATATTGTGATTGACACAACACAGAGAGAGAAGAACAGAACATTTCCAGACAGTTTTGGCTCACCGGGCTGCCCATGCGAAAGGCATCCTGTACTGGCCCAGTCTGCTGCAGGCCATCTTGGCATTCTTCAAAACCTTCTGAGCAACCTGTGAAGCAAAACACACACATTGTTCCCCACAACCTCTCCAGAGACATTTTATTAACAGTGAACTGGGCGGAAAGCACGTTCCTAGCAGTCTTGTGGGGGTTTTGGATGGTATCGTTGTGTAGTTTTAGGCAGGATATTGAAGGGGTCATTGTGGGATGTGGTAGAATTGTTTGCAAGTTTATGGATCCTAAGCCCTGATAATCTTTCCTTATCCTTGTAATAACCACTTTTTGTTTTGATTGACAGTGTGTATTTTGGTTCTTCTGTTTTGTTTGGTATATGAGTGTGTGTATGTTTGGGTCAGCTGTTTTGTTTCTGTATGTGTGTAGTTGTGTTAGGCTCATTGCCTTGCTGGAGTCGGAGCTCTTCATGTAGGGCTCAGCGCAGTGAGTAATGCCTCCCTGCAGAACTTTCTCGATTCGCGCAACCAGGAAGATGTCAGGGTGAGGACACGTCACAGAGAAGACACCCTGAAACACAAATCAGCACATAGACTTTTCTTACTGAAAAGACTCTGTCAGTTATGTATCCTTTTTCCAAATGAGGATGTCCCCAGATGTCCCCAAAGGGAGGTTAGATATAGATAACTTCTAGGACAAATTGTCCCCAAAGTATAGCTAAGTAAATACACTCACACACTTCACTCTGTAACTTTGCTCTGCACTTTGTAACTTCTCTCTTACTTTTAATTAAGTTCTATCTATCTATCTATCTATCTATCTATCTATCTATCTATCTATCTATCTATCTATCTATCTATCCATCTATCCATCTGCTGATTACAGAACCGGCTTTCTGACAAGATGCGCATTAAATATCGCATGCGATTTATCATGCAGCCCTACTATCTATCTATCTATCTATCTATCTATTTATTCGTTCTATTTATCTATCGTTCTATCGTTCTACTTATCTATCTACCTATCTATCTATCTATCTACCTACCTATCTATCTATCTATCTATCTATCTATCTTGTTCTGTCGTTCTATCAATCTATCAATCTATCTATCTATCTATCTATCTGTTTATTGTATTTTATTTTATATCTTTCTATTCAATCGACCCATCCAATCATCCATGCATCTATCCAATCTATCCAATCCATCCATCCATCTGCCTCTGAAAATAAACTGTTAGATTAGTCCTCTTACTTTTTTGGGATACTGCAGCATCCCCTCCGGCAGTTCACTAAGCAGTGTTTCTCCGTGAGGTGTGTCCACCCCTCCGTTTATCTGCATGCTGGGTGGTGGGATCATGGAGCGGACCAGTGGGTGATTTAGATCCACATGAAAATCTGCAGATATTTTTCGGCTGTTCTGCACATCAAACAGCGAAAGCACCACGAAGAAGGGCTCCACCTGAAGAAAACAGTAAAGCTGCATCTAATCTGTACCAGAAGTGTGGGTCGAGCTACAAACTGACATGTTGAACCGCTTCAACAAACAGAGGAATGTTTGCAAGCACCACAGAGGCACAATATTTACACTTGAAGCTTATTGAGAAGTCTTGTAAGTGTGTGTGCACATTAAACTGGAATAGGAGAAACTGGTTTAACATTGAAATAATTACACATTTACCTTTATGTAATCGTATATAGGGCTGACTATCAATATACACACAATTCCCCCTTTCCCATGGAGTTTGACTGGTTGCCACAACACATCGCTCATCAGAAACAGTAATACTTAGCCAAAGAAAAGAGCTTTATAACCACAGAACAACTGTAATTGTGCATGTGAATCTTACGTTAGTAGTAGGTCCCTCCTCATTTTCTGCTACACAGCTCTGAAGGTTGAAGGACAGATCATTGCAGCTGACCAAAAATCTCTTCCCAAACTTCTCCTCAAACTGCTTCACGTCAGGTTCAATGCCAGACAAATCGAGTCTCTACAGGCCAAAACATACACACAAAGCTTAAAACCAGTAGCTCACCCTGCGATTTAATGGATTATGTATTATTGGAGCTGCGGCTCACCTGTGTGTCAGGGTCCAGAGTAAAGAGTTTCAGACGAGTTTCACTCCTCATCTTAGACTCAATGTCTCTCGCACTCTGAAAAGCAAAAACAGGTTGCTAGTTGCTAATTACCAGCTGATTGTGTTTCCTGTTCCAGCATATTGCATGATAAAAATCATTTTCTTAATTGCTATTTTGTCTTGGTTTCCAATGGAATATCTAAAAATACTTAAAACAAGATTAATGCACATGAGAAGTAAAATAACATAATAGAACTCATTTTCGGAGAATATATCTGAAAAATAAATGCTTTTAAATCTAAATATAGTTAGATTTAACATTAAAATGGCATGCTTTACATTTATTAAATAAAAGGAAGACAAGAATTACTCTTTGTGCATTTGTAACATAATTTGCAATTGCACAATTATCTAATATCTCTGTTTACACTGTTAATTCTGAAGTAAATGCATCACATTTTATGAATGTTTAGATATTTTCACTGCAAAATAAGACAAAAGAAACAGTATAAATGTATTCAACATCATTAAAGTGAGGTATCATGGGATGTGTGAGAAAATATTCTGACTTTAGAGAGAAGAGGCGCCTAGACGATTGATTCCAGGGAGGAGAGAGATGGCAGACAGGAGAATAAAGAGCAAGATAGAGATGGGATGTGTGTGTGTGTGTCTGTGTTCCAAAGTGTGGGTGGTTCATTGTGGAATGGTTGGAAAACATTAGCCTAGAGGACTAAGGGTGTGTGGAAAAACTGTGGATGTGTAGAGAGAGGGCAGACAGCGAGGACGCCAGCATTGAGATCATACTACAGTCAAGACACAGGAGCCAAAGACCAGTATTCACCTTCACACACACACACACACACACACACACACACACACAAACACACACAGACACACACACACCCTGTGAAACTGTAGATGATTGTTTGTATAATCAGCTAATCAGGAGATCATGCGTGTCTATATGTGTGTCTATGTGTTCACAATACCTGGAAACTGTCCTGAAAATTCCCAGGCGAGATGTCTGTCTTGCCTAGCTCATCATCTGTGTGAGAGAAAACACACTTTCAACTGTGCTGAAACACTCAAAACCAGCAAACACAGTCATTTACCCAATGTCTATAAATCAACATGTAGCGACTGGGAAAACTGTCAGATAGCAGTGTCAAATCATAACAACAAACACAAAAATGTGGCTGCTCAAACATTAAAGCTGTCAAACTACATTTTTTATGATTAAAGAGTGAGTGGATGTACACTACCAGTCAAAGGTTTTTGAACAGTAAGATTTTTAATGTTTTTAAAGAATTCTCTTCTGCTCACCAAACCTGCATTTATTTGATCCAAAGTACAAATGTAATTTATTCCTGTGATCAAAGCTAGAGAGTTTTGGGTGGTTGCTAGAGTATCGTGGGTGGTTACTAGGGCATTACTTTGAAGCTTCTTAGGTATTCCAAATTGGTTTAAAAATTATTATATGTCATATGTGGTTTCTAGGGTGATATGGGTGGTTGCGAGGGAGTTCCTAGAGTGTTTGGATGCTAACTATGCAGTTTCTAAAGTATTCAGAGTGGCTTCGAAGGGATAGTTCATGTTTAAAGGAATGAAAATTCTGTCATTAATTACTCACCCTCATGTCTTTCCAAACCCGCAAGACCTTTGTACATCTTTGAAGCACAAATTATATTTTTGATGAAATCCGAGAGCTTTCTAACCCTGCATAGACAGCAACGCAGCTGACACGTTCAAGGCCCAGAAAGGTAGTAAGGACATTGTTAAAATAAATCAATGTGACATCAGTGGTTCAACCTTAATGTAATGAAGCTATGAGAATACTTTTTGTAGCTTCATAAAAAGCTAGAACGCCGGCTCCTGCGTCAGCAGCATCACAGGTATGCGTCGTGGTTCTCTCATGAACGCGCGTCGAAGACTGACACAGAAGAGAAGAAATTATTAAATGAAGTCACTATTTTTGTTTGCGCACAAAAAGTATTCTCATAGGTTCCTAAAATTACGGTTGAACTACTGATGTCACATGGACTATTTTAACGATGTCCTTACTACCTTTCTGGGCCTTGAACGTGGTGGTTCCCTTGCTGTCTATGCAGGTTCAGAAAACTCTCGGATTTCATCAAAAAATATCTTAATCTGTGTTCCGAAGATGAACAAAGGTCTTACGGATTTGGAACGACATGAGGGTGAGTAATTATTTACAGAATTTTCATTTTTGGGTGAACTAACCCTTTAGACATGAACATATATGGTATGGGTTTCTAGGGTGCTGTGGGTGGCTGTTAGGGGGTCCCTAGAGTGTTATGGGTGGTTCCTAGGATGATAGGATGGATGGAGGGTTGCCAGGGTGTTGCTACAGTATGTGGCTTCTAAGGTGTTCTGAGTGGTTTTAAAAAGGTAAAAATGCTGTTTCTAGGATGTTGTTGGTGGCTGCTAGGGGGTTCCTAGGGTTAATATGTTCAGTATGTGGTTTCTAGGGTGTTCTGGGTTGTTGCTTTCTTTCCCAAGATATTCCAGCCCCTAGATATGATTTGGGCTCCTCCCTAAAGGCAAGTCGAAAGGATTCTTTGCCCATTTTATTGTATTAATCTGTCTATTGTAACAGCACACATCTCCTCAGCATGATTTGAGGTATCTTTCATGTCCGTAGAACAAACATTGCGAGACGAGTTAGGCACTAAAAGTATAATTCTTAGGGTCAGAAGTTTGTTCTGATCCCAAACCCTAAGTATGACTAATAGCAACAGTCATGCTCGCCTTAGCAAGCTCCATAAGTAATTAGTTATATTTGGTTCTGCACTCTGATTGGCCGACAGGTGTTTATTGTTTTATTCGAGGCGAGAAGAAAGGAATGTGCCATCATTTGAAACTCATCAAATGTAAATAAAGACTCCCAACCTCCTCTCCTGTGTGAAATCCAAAGGGTTTAAGAGGTGTTAAGTGTTACTGTTTGTGCATGGCTATGTGTGCGTCACTTCAGGAGTGTTGGGTATATGGAACTATCTTTTAAAAGTTGTTTAAATAGTGGGTGGTCTCTTCAAAGAACACATACATGAAACACAACCACGCCAGCTGGATCTGCAAAAATACATGTCTGCATATTCTACAATACAATTCTACAACAATCTTATATTATCACATATATACAGTATATAGTAATGTCACAATCGACACATGCCAGCGAACATATATGAAATCAGACACACACATCTGTGAAAAGCACACACTCAAACACACACTCAAACACACACCATCGTGCAGTTCTCCGTTCCTCCTCTCCTGCATGGCGAGCTCAAAGCTGCTGTGGAGGATCTTGTTGAGGGTGCTGATCCAGTCATCCATCTCTCCTTCGCTGTCTGCCGCCAGAAGATACGTGCTTTTATCCTGCATCTTCAGCTCAAATGCAAAACGACGCACCTTACTGTTCTGCGTGGTGACAGAGAAAGAAAGACATTTCTAGTCATGCCACTGGCAGTGAATAGCATATAGCTCATATAATTTAGCCTTGGAAGAATTTGTTGAGATTTTGTTTTTAATTTATTGAAATTGGAATTTGACTTTTGATTGGTATCTTGGCAAGTTCAAGACATTGTTAGATCTCTTATGAAACTCCTATGAATCTTACTGGACTATTAGTGAGGTATTTGTTCTGGAAGAAAAATCTGAGAAACAATAGATTCTGAGAAGTAAAATCTTCACTTGAACTCCATTTAAGCTCATTGGTGTCAAGAAGAAACAATCGAGACATAAGTTCTTCTTTTTTTACTTTTCTTTCCTATGGGAATGTGAGCACACCCAAGACATTGGAATGATTTTACACTTTATGAATTTATGATGAATTTACACCAGAAATTACTCTGGAAAATATATCCATCCTGCAGCAGGAGCTGAAAGCCATTTATTCCCAGACGACTGCTGAGGAATATCTGGCTGCTTTGCATGTGCACCTGTTGAAATGTTTAGGTTTTAGACCTAGAAATAACTTTTACTATTTCTCTTTTGTCTGAAATGTGGAAAACAGACAAAATGTCTAAAAACAGATGTTGAAAACAGGTTGCGCATACCAAAGAAGTACTTTATTCTTTCAGGAGGGCTGGTGAATCGAGGAATGTGATCACATTTGCACTCACACACACACTGTGCGCACCACAGGAGAAAATGGAAATATTTGACCCTGGGAGAAATCATGCGTGAATTAGGCTGGACCTCATCTTTTCCTCTGTACCTCTCGCTCGTTTTTATCTTTTTCTCTTTCTCTGCAACCCTGAGTAGCCCCATCTGAGGAACTGGCCATCCAAACACTGATATCCCCTCTTGGTCGAGACAAAGGAAGGGACTCATGAGGATGTTATTAGAGATCTGAACTCCTTCTATAAACTGCTTTGTGCTGCAGTAAATACACAAAACAAAGCATTTATTCTTCTGGCGTCCTTATGAACTTTAAAAGGAATGTTCTGGGTTCAATACAAGTTAAGCTGCATCGATAAAATTTGTGGAACAATGTTGATTACTACAGAGTATCATGTTAGCTTGGTTCGATCCCTCAGTAAAAAAGCAATAATTACAGTCAATTACAGTATAATGAGTTACAATAGAAGTAACAGACTGATAAACATAAATAACATTTTCCTTACACACTGAATAAATCTGATTATCATTATTTTCCAAGAAAAAATACGTTTTTAGTTATATTTTATGTAATATTATTAATTTAGAAATATTTATTATTAATATATGAGTTGTACCACATGCCATTTTAGAACCTGAACTAACCTTGTCATAAAAAGGTCATATTATCTATTTTAAGACTTTGACAGAGTAATGAGAGGTCTGCTGGAATATATTATATTATATATTTATGCAGGTTGGTTGCACCAAATGACTTTTTGTTAAAATATATTTTCAGAATAAAATAAAAGATTAAAAAATACTTCATGTAGTTTTCTTTTCACACATTTTTTGAGGAAAGGCCTTTTTCTTTCTTTATGACATAAGGACAGCATAACCATTAATTTGTTTTTTACTTTATATACCCAGAAAATGTACACATTTATTTTCATTTTGAAACTAAACCAAATTTATATATAAATTCAAAAATTAAAAACTTGTTCATCATAGAACAGGTCCATTTGAGCCAATACATGTATGAATTGCATTTTTAAACATGTCATGGACTTCTTACACTGGTAGTTACCTGGATGACACCCATGCAGGAGTCCAAGAAGATAGTTCCCTTGGGTTCCTTAGATATTTTCTCATCTTTGTAGAAGTTCAAGTTGTATGATCCATCTCCCAGCTGGGTCAAATGGAAATACCTTCTCTTAAAAGACTAAAGGGAAAAAAAGAGAGAACGCAAAGATCATTAAATGAAAATAGCAGATGTAAACACTCTATGTTCATTCTAAAAATAACATCTAGTGGAATGGGACCATGGGAAAATGGATTAGTGAGAAGTGGAAGTTGGTAAGGCCCCACTTCCTGCCTATCGCATGGTGAGCACAAATCTGCTTCTTAGAGCAGGACTAAGGGTCAGAATTTGCATAGCTCTGTCCGTGACTAAAAACAAGCAGCTGAACATAAAGCTATGCAGAAACTGCACTCCATGTCATGTCAATGACATCAAAACTTGATGCTATGGCTATGCTCGGATCTCAAAAATACTACTATTTTTGCAGTGTGCAGTATGCATACCATGCAAGATATGAAAATCTCCTGTATGCATGAACATTTTTCAAAACATGCAGTGTGCAACTAGAGCACATTACTATATCCCACAATGCAATGCACTCTACTTGACCATTTAGTGTGACAAATGAACTGGAAGTAATATCAACCATATTCAACCATTTCAACATTATTTGAATAAAATAAAGAATATTTCTGAGGTAAAAACTGTGAATGCCACTTAAAGATTTTGTCATCATTTACTCACCCTCAAGCTTTTCCAAATCCTGTAGTTTCTTTCTTCTGCTGAACACAAATGAAGATATTTTAAAGGATGTTGGTAACCAAATAGTTGCTGGTAGCCAATAAAACTCTGAAATATCTTCTTTTGTGTCAACAGAAGAAAGAAACTCATACATCTATGGAACAACTTCAGAGTGAGTAAATGATGACGGTACTTTCTTTTTTGTTTAAACTATGCCTTTAATGAATTAAAGAGATACTATAACCTATCAGTGATGCTTTATAGCATAAAAAGTTTAAAATAGTAGTATTTTTTTCCACATACACATATTGTTTCACTTCAGAAGACACTGATTGATCAACTGGGGTCATATGAATAACAGCTGTGTAATTTGCGAGCAAGATTTCTTTTATTTTCAGCTTTGAGTAGAGATTCCAATTAAGCATGCATTGTGGTGACAACAATATAGCATACTAATTTATGAAATGTTTATCTTTGCATAATGTGTTGTGTTTTATATATTTTTTAAAATATACAGTATAAACTGTGTTCTATTCAGTATGCTACTATTTTATTTCAAACATAGTGATCATCTCAATCACAAATTCATCATCATTAAATCTGAAAAGGGCTTGTGTATATTGCTAACTCACCCTCATGGTAACACTGATGGCACTGTTCATATTTGCTTTATACAGCCAGCCGTGTTTGGACACGCCCCCTCTTTGAGAGCCCAATGAGGCAGCATCCTTCAGGAACCAGGGAAGAACATAACAAGCACATATAAGAACACACAGGTGCAATCATACACCCACATACTGTGACTTCATCTGTTTCTTCAAGCCTGAACAAAAACGTCGATATCTAACACAGTTTCCCACATTAGAGCCTCTGGACGCCCTCCTCCGTGTTTCAACATGAAGTCCATTTTCACCTGACCCCCTCCATTATTTATGTTCTCTCTCATTCCTACAGGGAACAGCCTTCAAACTGTACAAACAAACTCCATCCCTGAGTGAGCGCTCAGACAGAACGGCAGACATGGAGCTGGAATTCTGGGAAATGTAGGTGAAACCCAATCAGGGAATCAGATAGCCCAGAGACAGAGTCCTGCGTCTGCTCTTTCTCTAAGGCTAATGTAGTCCCAAAGGCTCCGCACAAACGCATTACTAATGAGCTGTAAGTTCCTTATTATTTATTTATTCTGCTTATCAGCCAGTGAGAACAGAGAAAAGGAGAGCGAGAGAAATCATGTGTTGTAATAGGCTGATGAAGTATGGTGCATGTATGTAGATATGGTGAATACCATTTCCTTTGCCTGTCACCATACTAAGGAAAATGGTGGAGTAAAGAAATAATAGCACATGAGTTTCTTGTGCTCTTTCATAAGTTTATCAAACAAAGGTCAAGACAGAGTGAGTTTAAACAGCTGAATGTGATCAAATTCCTGGCTGCATAATGACATTAATCACTGTAATTACAGTGCTGCATTCTGAATCATATAAATGGCACATTTGTGGGTTAAAAATAAAATAAACAAATGATAGATAGATAGATAGATAGATAGATAGATAGATAGATAGACAGATGATAGATTTTAACATTTAAAACTGTTGACTCAAGTTTCACATTTAATAATTTATGTAACCTAATTACATGCAATTAAATAATATTTCCACGTTTTTTTAAATGTTTTTTTAAATTACAGCTAGATTGTAATTATAATGACTTTTTACCTTTTATCACTTGTCTCATATTTCATTTTAATCATGTTCTTCACTGACACTGTAGTTACATTTAGAAAAAAACTTCATTAGAGACAAAATTGTTCGCTGCGCTACAACATTGTCAACAAATGTTAAAATAGCTAATATTTTTTGCTCTTTGCAATCATAATTTGAAACATAATTCTAGGTTCATAATTCTTGGTTCTCATCACTTTCAAAATAAAAGTCTTCTGACACTTAATATAATAAAAATAATAATTCCGTCATAATAATAATTTATATTTATATAATCAATTTTTTCATAGCTTTATAGACTGAAAGTGTAAAAAACTGTACATAAAAGTATTTTGAGATGAAAAATTAAGAAAGCATAATAAAACATTTCCAAAATAGTTTTAACATGATTTTCATATAACTAAACAAAAAAATCTGTTAGTTTGACTTAAAATCAACCCCTGCTACAAGTGTTTTTTGTTTGTTTGTTTTCCCAGGGAAAACAATGAGGAATCATAGGCAATTCACCCTTACCTCCTCCTTATCTGCATCTTCGTCCACCTCAAATACGTGACTAGCTAGTTTCTCTGGCCGAGGAACTTTACTGTAAAGGAACAAAATACAAAAAACAAACATAAGACACATAGACTTTTACTATTTTTTGCCTGTGAAAAGGTCAACATCACAATGCTAGAGTACTGAGGGGTGGTTGCCTGAGTGTTGCTAGCATTTTCTAAGGTGTTCTGAGTGGTTTTTAGTGGGAGGCTATGTGGTTTCCAGGTGGAAAAAAATCTCAACAAGCTAAATGATCATTCATGTCTTTAGCACATATTGTAAGTCTAACAAAAAGGTTCAGTGCTTATAACTCGAGGACACTGTTGCTCTTCACTCACACAGCTGATGCAAAACACAGATGAGTGTGCACATGTGCATGTGCGAGTGTTTGACTACTGTATGTGTGTTCAAGGAAACTGCATTAGCAGAACTTTCATGAAGGAGTAGTGGGCGGATTGTAATGTTGCTCATGATGATGATGACGAAGGAGCTTCATGTACGCAGCACACGTTATCTCTGTCTCCTCCATCACCATCATCCCTCCTGCTTCCTTTACCAAATGCCATACACTGGCTGTCTCCTGATCTCCACAATGTATTTGCCAGTTATTGACCTCTAAGCCATAATTGCTCCATCCGTTAGTTAAGACAGGAAGTGACATCAGTGGTTGCTGCCCTGTCCTGAAACAGGTGGAGTATTTATGTACTGAATGACAAAATAGAGAGGAAGAGAAAGCAAAAGAGAGGAGGAAATGGGCTGCTGATGGGTTGTTGTTGTGTGAAGAAAGGCACAGTTCCCGATTTAGCTCTGGACGAGACCTCGCTGTCAACACAGGGGCAGGACAGGATGAGGACACTGATAAAATTAGTGAGTAAAATAGCATCTCTCTTTTTCGCACACGCACACACATACACACAAACACACTGTTGGCAAACAATAACTCTTGGGCTCTGTTCCAATACCTAGTGAGCTGCCTTGCTGTCGACTACCTGCATAGGCAGCTGCTTTCTAAGTAGAGGTCAACCGGTATATCTAAAAGTGCAGAGTGGCTAATTGGTGATATAATCGCCGATTTATCACACTGTTTAATTTAAAGATAGTAAATAGAATAAACATAACAATAGTAAACTAAATGTGATATTTATTTTCAATTAGATACATTAATACATTTTTAAATAAAATTTATATTAAAGCTGCAGTCCGTAACTTTTTTTGGTTAAAAATTATCCGAAATCAATATTTGAGCAAGTACATAACCAACCAGTTTTCAAAACTATCGCCTCACTTTAGCCCGATTCATAACGGTTAGCTTGTAATAATGTTTTCTAATTTTTAAGTCTCCATATAGTTTTGGTGATTACTGTATTTTACTTTATAAACAAATAAGAATCTTCTCTGTTCTAAGGACAAACAGTCGAAGCATCAGTCAACCACACATCACACAATTGCCATGATGTGGAAGGTAAATCTTATTTCTCAGTATACATTGTATATTATTATATAAACTAATGCCTGCTGTGCCTTCTGATATTTTGTGATGGAGTAATCTTGAGAAATGCTTTAATTATTACAATAATTTAAATATATATATATATATATATATATATAAATAATTGCATTAAATGATTCTCAGAGCTATCGAAATAAAATGTCCTACTTCAAAAACTTAAAGACCAAACAGAAAAATTACTACTAATAATTTAAAAAGGTCAAATATCGGCCTATTTATTTACTTTGCAATATGCCAGTCAACCACTACTTCAATGATATCACACTAAATAAAATAATAGAATTTTTAAATATTTACTACATATTCAATGACTTGTTAAAATTACATATATATGTGTATTTGTAAATGATGAAAATATGAGAAAGTATTACTAATAATAGAAATGGAACGACTATAAAAATTACCTTCCATTTACTTTCCTTATTTAACATTTCTGTTTAATAATTTTTTTTGAACTGTTCAAATAAATAACACTACCCAAATAAAAGTCCTGGTGCTGTCAAATTAAAAGTACTGCTTCCGATACTTGTAGGACAAACAGAAAATCTTTAAAAAAATATCCGATGCCAAAAATTTAAAAATGCCAAATATTTGCCGACATATCAGTCAACCACTTGTGATGTGCAAAGAACAGCTGGACTTAAAATAACTTAAAATAACTATCTTCGCCTCTTTCCATTGCTTTTCTCTTTCTTTAAATCACTTTTAGCAGTCTTATGTTCCTTACTTTGGAAGTTGGCGAAAGTCTCCAGAATAATCTTCATACTTGTAGTTCACCACATGCCAGTCTGAGTTGTAGGTCTTGATGCACTGTAAAAGAAAAAAGAAAAAAAAACATGTCTGTCTTCTCTCTACTGTCATACGGAAAGCACATAAACAAATATGCCAGCAAGCACACACACACAAGGACCCAACATCCCAAAAAGGCTAATACACTACCAGTAATCTAATAAGAATCATGTTTTCCAAAGCAATCTGTGGCAACAGCTTTTTAGAAAATAATTTCCTGACTGTATCCCTGTGCTAATCACTGTTAAAGCTGTCACCACACTGCACCACAAACAGACACTAATATATCATATGGGCATTACATTAAAGCAGATTCAATTCTATTTGCTTTGTTGGCAAGGCAAGCATTCAGTCCTCAGCAGTTCTTAAAGGGATAAAATGAAACTAAAAGCCTCTAAAACCCAAAACGGCTTTCTTATTTTAAATCCAATTAATGGAAAGAAAAAGGAAGGCAGCGAGAGAGTAGATCAGTTGACAAAGTAGATTTAAGACCATTCTGAACTAAGCATTCAAGTGTTTATTCTAAACTATCTGTCTCTGTACTCCATCTGTTAGTTTTATTACTCCTTTGGGGTAAAATAGAAATACAATAAAATAAAAAATATAAAGTAAAAAATTTAAATAAAAACTAGATTTTTACATTATCTGGACAAAACATGAGTTGTACTTATGAAGCAGTTTGTGTGTGTGTGTGTGTGTGTGTGTGTTGTGGTGTTCTGAGTGGTTACTACAATCTAAAAAATCCCACTTCCATTTTGTCAGACAAACTCTGTTTTGAAAAGTTGACACTGAATAAATAAACAGTATTTAATCAAGTAATTTTTTTAAGCCATTTAGTATGAGCAACTTAAAATATTAAAAAGCAAGAACGTCAAGTTTGGAGAGGAGGGTCAAACTAAGGCTGCGTTTACACTTGGCATTAACATGCGATCACCGCAATCCGATCAAGCAGATCGGATCATCAGTCAATCAGAACACGGCGCAATCTATCGTCATCCAATCACAATGCGTCCTCGACTACTTCTGGACCAGGACACGCTAATCGGATAACATTCCGATCAGAAGTGCATTTACACTGGTCTTTTCAATGTGTATGTGGACAACATCCGGATACAGGTCGCATGTTAATGCCAAGTGTAAACGCAGCCTAACACGCTGCTGAGCAGATCACTCATCACCCATAATTCCTTGCACTTGAATAATTAGTGTTTTTGGTTAAAAGAATAGGGATTTATGAGCACATGCAAATATTTATTATTCAGAATTAGTTTTGAATACATTTTGTTAAAAGAAGTTATGTTTATGTTAAGTCACCATTAGTGTGATTCGTGTTCAATTTGGTGACATTTCTTCAATTTCATGGCATCAATTTCTACAAACTCGTTCAGGGACACAGAGATAAATCTAAATAACCTAAATAATAAATCTACATAATTTTTAAGCAGACTCACACAACTTTAATTAAATTTATACAACTGCTTTTTCCTTAATTTGAGTAAACTCAAAAAAGTCCTGAAGCTGGTTGCCTAAAAGTTTTGCGTTTTCTCAACTTCTGATTGTATTTCACTGTAGGATATTTTTGCCCATTTTATCACTTAAAATTAAATCTGAGGTCTCATTTACGTCCACAGTACAAAGTGTTAAAGGAGGGTCTGTTTAATACTCAGACTAACCCTAAATATGAACAACAGCAATAGTGACGCTTGACTAAACATTTGTTATTTTGAAGTTATTGTTTTTTTCCCGATACTAAAACAAAAAGCATTTGGACAACTAAACCACCAAAACCAGCAACACTGATGACTTATGACATTATAAGAAAAAAACTGAAAATAAATGAAAGTTCTTGGGCAGCTCATCTTGTTTGCCTTCCCTTGTGGATCAGATTTAATTACAACTCTTTTGAAACAAAATGACATTGGCTCTGGAGTAATGTAATGGAGAATGATAAATGTTTACTCAATGACTCAATCGCACATTTTATGTCCGACATAGTTGTTTCCAAGAAGTTGTTTGCAAGTTTAACAGAACAATCCTTCAGAATGCATATTGTTCTGGGGTGTACAGTGGACGTGTGCACATGACTAACAGCCCAGGCAGATGTTTTGATTTGTGAAAAGCTGGAAAACTGCCTGGTTCTGGCCCAGCTGTCCTTGATGATGTCATTGAGCTCTTTAGCGGGAGGAAGTATCGTTTTACGCTCTCTGTTGACGACGCCCAATGCCCGTGATATCCACACAACCCTAGCCTGACCCAGACCTCACACACACATACGGTTTATTCTAATGCAAATGCATATACACATATAATAGAATTATTGAAGAAGTAGCATAAATGTGGAATTTCTAGGAATCTGTTTTGACCTGTTGACAATTTCTGTTTGTTCAATACATTGCTCTGGTTTTACTTGTATCTAAGGTCTTATTCCTTCCAATATGATCAATGATAGTCTGTGATAAAGCATGTATTTTTTGCTGAGTATTATAAGTTGCTTTATAAAAATAAGTAAAGATTTCATGGCAAAAAAAGAAGTGTTTATCACGTCCTGAAGGTGAACATTTCTGAAAGAGATGTTAAAGAGATGATAAGGCCACTTAGAGGCCTTAGAAATGTGCATATCAAATATGATAATATAGGCTTTATAGGGTTAAATTTATATTATTCATGAGTCATATTATTCTTATAAGAACTAACACGTCTCATTTTAATGTAAATAACACTTAATATTAAGCTTAGATTACACTTGTTTGCAAAAATTGACAAAATTTGAAAAAAATACACAATTGACTTTGCACTATTTGCACTATTACGGCAAGATGTTTGTGTGCATTGTCTGATCTAACAGCAGTAATTCATCAAGCAGTGGTGAACAGTAACGAAGTAGTTTTACTTCGTTACTGTACTTTTACTCAAGTACTTGATTTGTGTACTTCGTCCACCTCTGTCATCAAGTGATGATCAAATGCCTGAGAAGAGAACTGTAACCAGGTATATATCCAGACACGCGTTCAAGTGCATTTTTAAGAGATGATTCAGGTGCTTGGACTTCAGTGATTAGGCGATGTAGTACAGTCTCAGTAAAGTGTGCCAGATTGTGGTATTCCACTGCATCCTCTCAGATCCGACCTTTAAATTGTGGAATGCAAGTGCTGTAGCAGCATGCAAATAGCATTAGACTAGGCTCCAAAATTATTGGGTGGGTTTGCAGTCCGATTTGCATAATCCCTTTAATGAATCGTATGCTAACTCAATACAACATGTACAAATAAACAACGCTATCAATTAATGCAATTCATTAATAATTCACACTCTTTTCGATCTGATCCATGAGTGTATGTTATATGCATATGAGGTCTTACCTCCTGCACAAGCAGGCTGCTGGCTCTCTTTTCTGCCCCATCTGGTACTGAAGAGTACAGAGTTCTGCCCTGACGCTTCAAAGTGGAGATCTACATGGATACATGTGGAAATGTTTCAGATACTATTTACATACAGAGACGAGCACATGAACATGCATAAAAAAGATTGTTCCGTGTAAATCTTGACATTTCTTGTAGCAATAAAATGAATCATATTTGATTTTTAAGTTGGTCCAAAGTATCTTTTTTTTTTCCCAGTGTAGTGAGGACATGGACTGATTTAATATAACTAGCATATACAGGGTCTTGTCTCTAGCTCTATCATTATACAGAGTCTCAGATGTGCCTTTCTAGGACACGTCATCTCAGTCTGCATTCATACTCCAGCACACATGTGAATGAATGTCTCTGTGCTATAGAGCCTGAGGCCTGATGTGAAACCAACATTGACCATGAAGCTAAATTGTCCATTGCTGTACAGCCCTGGGTTTTACACGAAGCGCTATGCTCATTTTAACCAGCTTGTGTGCTTGTAAAATCTTAAATAAGCAAATTATGCATTGAAAATAATCTTGGTGAACTCATCCCTAACCAGTCTGAGGCGTTATGCTCTGGAGTCAGTTTACTAGCCTTGTCTGGACTGGGCATGACTTTATACACTGCTGAAGCATTGTATGAGAGCCTAAGTGTGTGTGTGTGTGTGTGTGTTCTATTTGTAAATCTACTTTATTATACAGGTGTATTTTTATATCTAAAATGAGTTACACTGATTTATATTTATTGTGTAATGTATAAAATACAATACTTAATATTTAGTTAACATTTGTAATGATCACCAAAAAGAAAATGCTTAAAGCTGCAGTCCGTAACTTTTTTTGGTTAAAAATTATCCGAAATCAATATTTGAGCAAGTACATAACCAGCCAGTGTTCAAAACTATCACCTTATTTTAGCCCGATTCACAATGGTTAGCTTATAATAATGTTTTCTAATTTGAGTGGTACGGGTTGGTTTTCACGGGAAATTCGAGCATGGCGCTGCGTCATTACGTCATGTCTGTAAACATAAAGAAGTTGTCCCGGCTACTAGGCTATGTGAGGATCCTGCAGGTGGCCGATCGTTTATAGCCTTTTCTCACAGCAGCCAGAATAATTAAATGTATCATTTTGATAGCGGATTGTAATCCAGAAAGGATTATGTGTTAATATGAAACACATGTGCATGAAATTAAATTATATTCCAGTTATAAATGTGCTTCTGATTACAGATAGCCTGGGATTACAAAGATTTGTATTTTAAAGAAAACCAGTTCGAAGGGAGCATAATTTGCTTTTTGGGTTAAAAGAATTTCTTAATATGAAATTCGAAGAGTATGACAATTAGATTAGACTGTGCAGAAATTGAAATCTACACGCTAATACACACTATCCGCATAGTCACCAATGCTGATGTTGTTAACATTAATCATTTGAGAATAAAGTATAACAATAATAATAATTTGAACGGTTTAATGTGATATGAGCTAACCGATCTTTAGATTTAATCACCATTACGAACAAACGTGGCAGACTTGTTACTTACTTGTTTAGATGGCAATATATGGTGAAAATTCTTTTTTGGGTCATATTCCAAGACATAGGCTAGAATCTGTGATGGCGAAGTACAGTAAATATCCACACCGGTGCAGTGACTGACTGCCACACATACTCTTCAGAACATTAGATTAATCCGTGCTGAAGCCGTGCCGACTCACAACCCACGCAAGCTAGATAATTCCGCACACAGCTGCAATTCCAGGTTTTCAAACAGAGATGGCGACAAAGAGGCAAAACTTACGGACTGCAGCTTTAATAAACATTATAAATTATGTCTTAATAAAATGTGAAAAATGCTGAGATGTTTGTCTGAGTGTTAGATTTAGGCTTTATGTAGAATGTGACCACATACAGTACAGTATATGTCATATGTATACACATAAATGGAGTGCCAGTCTTCATAATACTATTAAGACTAACAAGATTTTTGATTTGAGACTGAGAATTATATTTAACATTTACATTTTTACAATTAGATTTAGAATTTCTCATTAGATTTAGGTTTAATTTCCTAACGCTAATCCTAAAATGGAATTGTTTGGTTTCAGCTAACTGGGCTGTTGCTCGCAGAACACAGTTTTGTTTCTGTTCCTCATAAACCAAGGCCCATAACAATGATCTCTCGCATACACACCTCTTTCTAAAGGAAAACAAGTAGATGGTTCCATTCAGAGAAGCAGCTTGAGAAATCCCCTGAGACAATGTTACCGTAATGTTATTTGAGAGTTGTATAATGGTTGTGATGGACAAGCAGGCCCTCGTGAACACTGAAAGAACAGTGATGTATGCCTAGCGAGCCGAAGGAGGAAGCAAACTCAAGACACACCACTGAGAGACTGTGAAAACTAACATCTGCACAGGTTACTCAGTGCTCGGAATCATGCTGAAAAATAACATTTCAGAGGAAATCGCAGCATGAATTCATATAAGAAGAGAACAAAAAATACTGACAGAACTAAAGTGTACATGTGCCTCTAGCAGAAAAAAATAGACAGCAGAAGAATGAAGGAATGGATACTAAGGGGGGAGCAGATAAACAGACGTTCTTACCTGAAAGTCATCAATAGGAAACTGCAGCATGTCTCTGAGGACATCACTTAGTATTTGCGTTTTCCTCTGGACAAGTACGCTCTCATAGTCCAACGGCTCAATCACTTTTGGTTTTACCTGGAGAAAAACACACACACAAGTTTAACAGGAGTAAACCAGATGAACAAATCAAATGTTCAAGACAACAAAATAAAATCAGGAACCAAATGAACCATTAATGACCATCAGTTAAAAAGGTTTATGGAAGAGCTGTAACATTTGCTTTTAAGTGACTGCAGATCGTCAGACCAATCTGTTGTGTTACCAAAAGTATGTCTACTCTTCTGAATTCAGTCGGGACATTAAGGGAGTATTATACAATTTTTTTCTGAGGTACACTTTTAATTTACTGTGTAAATCATTTGTAAAATGTAAGAATGTTTTTTACACTATTTACACTAATGTTTATATATGAATGTATATGAAAATTTATATGAATTTTATGAATAATGTATATGAATTTATACTGAGACTGTTAGAAAATATTCTATGTGTATATAGTATGACATTTGAATGTACTACATCTGCCACATTGTCACATTTATGTGACCCACTAAGGGTCAATTGCATTGACAAATCCATTGACAAAACCTCCTGTAACCTCATGGGATAGCAAAGTGTTGATAAGATGTGTACTTCACAATCTCGCTGGAAGTAAAAAGTCATCTGGGTACTTTTCTCCCACAGTTTTATGAATACTATGGGTTCAAACATACTACTCATCTCACAAGTTTTTTGTCTACTATATACTGTATAAGTAAGTATGCATATTCAGAGGCAGGGTTTGTCTTCTCATTTCAGAAGTAAGTTGAGAACAATTCATTTTAGAAGTCATAAAGTTGAAAACAAGCCATTTCTTTTTTTTTATCTTAGTCTCTAGGGACTGGGAAAACGTTGGAGATCTAAATGTTATAGTATCAATTCAACAAACAATGAACTTTGGTATCTCAAAGGATCAAGGAAATAATATCATCCCTTTAAGGCATTCTATTTGTCAGGTAAACTCCTCTGTATTATCTTTAGCATATAATCCTTTAATACAATACTGAAATAATGTGGTACAAAATTTCAAAATACAACATATTCAATGATGTGACAACATCAACAGTAACCAAGGTTAAACACAAACGTCTTTGTGCCCAGATACTCTGTTCTGTTTGTTAGTGAGTGAGAGAGAGAGAAGTGAAGGCATAAGAGAGTTGTGAATGAGTATTGTGTTGAACTGTACCAGGCAGTTCACACACTGCTTCCCATAACCCACGCTATGATTGGCTATGGTCAGCACCAACAAGCCTACATCATCCAATAAAGACAGGCTAATAGGTCTCTGTTACAATGTCCATTGTGACATCATTGCTTTATGGGGACACACAGCACTGAGTGGCAGGCCTCAGGCACTAACTGGCTAACATATAATTGAAAAGATGCTAACCTCTGGGGATTTATATTTCCTGTCCAACACGCACACACAAACACACACTTTCATAAAGCTGTTTGCCACAACCATCTCTGAAATGTGTTCAGACAATCAAGTAAGTACATATTAAACACAATATGCCTTTGATGTACAATATGTCTGTACCAATTTAATATTGGGATGTCAATCTCTTCCTTAATATTTTAGTGTGCAAACAATGAGCTGAAAAAAATGATGAAATGTGCCAGTACACATTTAAATGACAGTCAGAATCAGAAAAAAAACTGTAAAAATTGCAATGCAATCATAAGCTGTTCTTGTGATATCTCAGTTGTTTCTCCTAATGAGCAATCTAATGAAATCTCCTTTATCTCAGATTTTCTCCTGAGAAAAAAACTCAAGTTTCAAAAAAGACAACGTCACAAACTGTACTCTGATTTATCTAGATATACAAGGACTATTTCACCTAAAAATGAAAATTAGCTTCAAAATTGACTAACCCAAGTCAGGCCATTCAAGATGTGAATGAGTTTGTTTCTTCAGCATATAACAGATTTGGAGAAATTTAGCATTACATCGCTTGCTTACAAATGGATCCTCTGCAGTGAATGGGTGCCATCAGAATGAGAGTTCAAACAGCTAATAAAGATATCACATTATTTGTTTAAAAAGTTTTTGCGTGTAAACGGTGCTTGATCTGTGCATATTTCTCTCTGTCCTGATTCTCTCATATTTTAGCCTGAAGCAACAGTTTGATGGTAAAAACATCCTACAATCAAGCAGCTTTTCACTTTACAATAAATGAACTGGACTGGAGTCGTGTAAATTACCTCTGGATTATTGTGATGTTTTTATCAGTTGTTTGAACTCTCATTCTGACGGCACCCATTCACTGCAGAGGATCTATTGGTGGGCATGTAATGCTAAATTTCTACAAATTTGTCCAATGAAGTAACAAACTCATCTACATCGAGGATGCCCTGAGGTTAACTTTTCATCAAATTTTAATTTTTGGGAGAACTACTCCTTTAATGTGTGTAGTTAGAAGTCAGAGTTTTCAGTTTGAACTGACATTTCTCATTGAATTCATCCAAGACAAATTGAAAATCTGACCTATTCCACTTCAAATTTAATACCACTTGTACTATTACTGCATGTTAGCAACACTCAGGTGAATCTAATTTTATTTTTATATTTATTTATTTTATTTTATTTTATTTTAAGAGACAATATTAAAAGTAGTGTAACAGAGGTCTCCATTAAGTCTTTATAAAAATCCTGTTGGGTTTAAACCAATGTGTTTGTGTGTGGAGAATTTCTTGGCAATAATCCACTTATTGCGTGCATGACGGGGACTCCCTGCTGAGGAACGCGCTCTAGTACTACACTGTTACGTTTACAGTGTTACGTTCACATTTCTTGCGTAAATTCACATGTAGTACATTATAGAAGCTTATTAAACATCACATATCAATTTATCAGGTCTGTTCTACAACTCAGTCCACTCATCATCTCTATTCAGGTGAACATTCCTCAGACACTTGAATTTAACAATAACACCTGTTCTAAACATACATGCATAATAATGCTCTGTGAATTGTCATATCTCCTTCATTCAGAAGTGTTTTAGTCTTACACTTTGCATGGATTTTAAAAAATAATCAATATTCTGGCAACACAAGCAGCCAACATGCCAGCCGCTAGGCTGAACCGCAATTCCCACAGGTCACTCAACATAGCCAACACAAACACCTACTAATGAATATAATATGAGACTAATTAGGAACTTGCCAAGGCTAGGCACAGTCATTTAAACACTTGCACACACACACACACATGTATGTACAGCATTTGGAAGATGCTGATGCTTCTTTTTGAAGAACATCCTGACACACTTCTGGCACACTCATTTGCACACACACGTGTTTATGTGTGCAGGACTGCAGAAATGTGTCAAATGTCAAGCTGGAACTGCGAAGGAAGAGGAGGGGAAAGGGAATCTCATTAAACTGTCTCCCTCCCTTCGGGCCGAGGGAGGATCTTAAGGTAGGAGCAGACGGCCCTCGCTGTTTAACTGGGCTGTAAATCCTTGTACTCTTGCTCTGATTTGCCACAGACACATGGACACACACCATACACACACAGAAAAACACACACAATTTCATTCTACAATTCAATAAATCAGGAACTTTTTGAAGCAAAACTTTGCGAGCTGATCTGAGCTTCACTATATGCCAATAAAGAGGTCGTATGCCAACACAGGTGCAACAACTCTAAACACACACACACACACACACACACACACACACACACACACAGTACATCAACACTCTCACACACACTGTACATAAGCATACTCAACACATTAAATTTGTTTTCACTTATTTGGTGAATCATAAAACCTGTCTGGATTATATTTTACCCTCAAAATCCACAAATAAATGATTCTGGCTTTTTGAAATATTATGTTTTATAACTTTATTTGAATGATAATTAAGCACATTTCTCACACAAATCCTCATCATAATAATGCAGTAAACCCATTATTATTTACTGATTATTATTTATTCATAAATTATTATTAAAATTAAGTATTCAAACATGGTACACAGTAAAAAAAAAAAAGGAAAAGTTGTAAATAAATATTACTGGAGAATGTTTTACAAGAAAATTTACAAAAGTAGGCTGTTTTTCTACTTCAAACTTCTACCTGCTGTTTTTTATTATTTATGTATTTTGTAATTATGAAATGTAGCAATTTCTGAGTGAAAACTGTTTACCAAACTTGTTTGTGTACACTGTAAACAAATATTTTTTTGAAGTTGCAAATAAAACTTATTGTAGTATGTTTTTTTCCTAAGTTGCAAATAAAACAAAGATGATTGTAGTATGTTTTACAAGAAAATACTACTTCAGTTTTTCTACTTCAATATTTCACATTTTATTAAACGTGTTACTTGCTGTTTCTTTGTAATGTTTTTTTTTTTTTTTAAATGTACTAGCAATTTCAGAGTTCAAATTGTTTGTACATCAAATTTCTTTCAGAGTAGCATTTATTGTTCCTAAAAAATTATTGCATTGTTTACAGTATTTGGTGTTGTTGTTTTTTTCTTTCAGAATAATGGGAAATACTAAACAACTCTAAAGATAATTATTCGGAATATAGTATTCAGTCAGTTTCACAGTAATGAGAATTTGAACGGAAATGTGCTTAACTGAAAATAATTGTAAAAAAAATGTTACAGTGCCATTCATCTTAAATCTGACTTAATTTTACTTTTTACATAGGAAAAAACATTGTATTTTGTTTTATTTTTATTTTGATACTAATATGGTATAGTACATCATTATAGCTGTAAGTCAGACTTGTTCATTGTGCTTAAAACCAGTTAAACTCTGCGGACCCGGATACGGGTCCAAAATGACGTTAAAAATGTTTATGCTTCATTTACATAGCCTTCCTTATATGGTATCAGCCCATATATGGGTTCATTTGAAAGCTTGGAGTGTCTTCTTTACAAAGAATACCATTCCTTTTGGTTTTTATATTCATAAAGCAGTAAAATTAAGCTTAGAAATGTATTCGTCCCACACACGAATTTCCGCCTAACCATTGCGAATAATTTTTACGAA